CTTCCTTTACAATTTACCAATCTTTTTGTTGTTAATATGACAGACTATTGAACTATGTGATCATCAATTAGGTGTCCCAAAAGTGCACATACAATGCCCTCAGATAATGTGAAGTTCTCAAATGTGATTACAAAATTGAAACTTTTAGAAATGAATTTAAGCATACCGTACAGTAGCATATGTAGGGCTATCCATGGTCTTTTTCCATGGATGGAGCGATGAATCATAATTCTCAATAACAGACCTTCACCAGGGTATGCTTTATATCTGCAGTTGATGGAAAGGGTGGTACATGCCTGTGCGGTTTTCAAGAATTATATCTGATTTCTCTGACTAAGTATTTTGGACTTCAGAGTGTGTATAAAGCAGGACTTACTAGTAATGCACTAAACCTGCCTTTGAGTTACATGCCCTCTGAGGCTTGATAATTTTGAGAAACAAGAAATGTTAGAAAGTTTTTCAAGGACATCCAATTTATGTGAAAGGTAACATACCATCTCAAGGTAATGGTCCTCAGGTCCTCACAAACAACACTTTGTAAACCACATGCCCTTTGTACGTAGGTAATGAGAGAGAGAGATCTACATAGAAAGGAATCATAGGATTTCCTATTAACTCTTGACCTTAATGAGACTAAAACTAGCTCTCTTTCCAAGGCCTTTCTCTCATCCCCTGCCTCACATTCCCCACGCAACATCTGAACATCACCTCCCGGGTCGGTTGATATTAGATGGAATAATTCAATATTTGATGTTCAAAGGGTCCAAAATACAGGTCCTCCCCGGGCCACTCTTGTGAGGCTGACATCCCCTTGAACTTGTTAGGTAACAAGCAGGGTCCCCAAAGAATTAGCCACCTTGCCTCCCCTATTTGCATCTGCTTAGCACTTTTCTTTTTGGGGGAGGGTTGGTGGTAGGATCGAACATGTGACATTGTGGCGGAAATTTCACCACAGTAGTCATTAAGCCAAATACCAGGTTCCCCTCTTCCCATAGTCAAATGTCTCATCTACCATTCCTTCCCTCCCCAAAAGATCAACCATTCAAGCATTGTTAACCCCAACTGGCTTTATACCATAACCATGGCTATAGTGTTGATATACTCCAAACCTCTCTTTCCCATCCCACAGAGGATGGAAGTACATGACAACCCTGTGAAGGTTATAGCATCGGGGTTCATCATGTTCTTTCTCATCTATCAAACTATGCAAATATTCTTTCTGCCTCACTGCTGATCCCGATCCCATGAATCATATCATTGTAGAGAGGCAAGTTAGGTTATTTCGAACTTTTCACAAGCATATGCAGCTCCATGATAACGTTCTCTCTTTGGAAGCATTCAAGAAGGGCCTGGATTGGAGTCTTTTGCTGGCTGGTTGTGCTCAACATCCATTGATGGTTCATTACATTGAATGCATAGAGAGGACCCACCTTTTGCTGGCCCTGACACAATTTAATCAGGTCCATTGCCCACACAAGTCCTATCCTTTTGCTGGCTGGTTGTGCTCAACAAAATCCTCACCATTGCTCACCTGGGGAACTGCGGATTGACTATCCCCTACATTTCCTACTCCACAACAAAAACAATGAATCTGAGTCATCTCTTTTTACATTATCTTTGTGCTTTTCATGTCTGGTCTTCTGTACCGAGCTTGTCAACTTCAGCTGGGTTTTGTGTGGTTCTTTCTTTCTTTTCTTTCTCCAATTGTTTTTTCCACCATAACCAAGTCGGGATCATTGGCATAGAGGTTGTTTCTATTCACTTTCCAATGGCTATTATGGATCGGGTGCAACAACAGAACTTCTGAAAACACAGGTATGGGAGTCGAGTTACTGCATGCTAACATATTAGCTGATGTTATTTTTGAGCGAGATCTACAGAGAAATTCTGTAAGTTAAAGCTATGGAGGAGAAAAAAGAACAGGTCTTTTAAAATTAGCAAATTTTAATATTTTCAGTGTGTTCACTAAAAAGCACAGGTAAAAGGTAAAGAAGAAAAATAGCTCGAGCTCATGGTTAACCTAGAAGGATTTCTTGTTGCGGCCTTGAGGTTTTGCTCGAACCCAGCTTACCTTCTTAGAAAAGAAGATTTGGCAAAATCCTTGTATTCAGGAAGGAAAAAGTTTATATAAAGGTTGCAACCTTAAAAAGTAGAATTACAGGTGCACCTCATAACTCCATGGAAAAGGTTGTTTTAATGAAAAAACTTATAATTGACTATCTCGATGTATAAATATGAAAAAAAAAAAAGATTTTGAGTCTAAAAAATAGTGCATCTGCAATACATTATCTAGACATCTATTTTTAAGATATTTATATGTTTATGGATCTATTTTTGGAGTTTAAAATTTTATAATTAGATATGAAAATGGATTTTAAAATAATCATAAGAATTTGTTTTTTCAAAATTACATGCTAAGATGAAATTTGGAAGTGCGCTGTAATTGAATTGTTTAAGGTTGCAACCTCATAGAAACCAGGCCCATTCATAAATGGTATATGTTATTGAAACACACTTTCCCGCATCTATTGGCTGTCCACCTAACCTCTTTTAGGGCCCCTGTAGATAGGAGAAAACCATGAATGCTAGATATTTGAAATCTAAAGAAACCAATGGATTTTCAATATCAATGATTTTTATCATGGATTCCTTAAATCTCTTGATTGGATAAGCTATACAAAATTCATGGATTCCTTGCAATCACTTCTATGTCTATTATTTGGTAACAAAACTTGATACAAATTGTCTCTCTAAAATTTTTATATACTTTTTCTCTAAACTCAAAATTGGGGATAGGGTATCTATAAATTTTTTGAGATAGTTTCTCTCTCTATTATTTGATACGGTTTGTCTCTCTAAAATTTTGAAATAGTTTCTCTCTCTAAAATTTGATATAGTTTTTCGCTAAACTTTGATATACTTTCTCTCTCTAAAGTTTAAAATTTGAGATACTTTCTCTCTCTAAAACTTAAATTTTGAGATAGTTTTTTTTACTTTTTTTTTGAAATAGTTTCTCTCTAAAACTTTTATGTACTTTCTCTATTTAAAATTTGATATACTTTCTCTCAAAAATTTTAATATACTCTCTCTCTAAAACATAAATTTTGCGATAGTTTCTCTTTCCAAAAAATTTGAGATAGTTTATCTCTCTAAAAACATTTAGGTAGTTTCTCTCTCTAAAATTTGATATAATTTCTATTTTTAAAATTTTCATATATTTTCTCTTTCTAAAATTCAAAATTCGGGATAGTTTCCCTCTAAAACTCAAAATTCGAGATAGTTTATCTCTCTAAAAAACGAGATATTTATCTCTAAATTTTTTTTTTTTGGCCGTTTCTCTTTTTAAAATTTGTAAGAGTTTCCATCTAAAAGTTTAAGAATATTTTTTCTTTCTATAATTCTAAGAATACTTTCTCTCTCTAAAACTTAAGATTTGATATAGTTTCTTTCTCTAAAAAATTTTGAGATAGTTTCTATTTCTAAAACTTTTTAGGTACTCTCTCTAAAATTCGATATAGTTTTTCTCTCTAAAAATTAAAATATGAGATTGTTTCTCTCTCTAAAAATTTTGAAATAATTTCTCTCTATAAAAAACCGAGATAGTTTCTCTCTCTAAAACTTAAAATTTGAGATAATTTCTCTCTCTAAAATTTTGAGATGGTTTATCTCTCTAAAACATTTTGGTACTCACTCTCTAAAATTTTAACATACTTTTTCTCTCTAAAAGTTAAAATTTGAGATAATTTATCTCTCTAAAATTCTGAGATAGTTCATCTCTCTAAAAAAATTGATACTTTTTCTCTCTAAAAGTTAAAATTTGAGATAGTTCATTTCTTTAAAAAATTGATACTTTCTCTCTCTAAAAGTTAAAATTTGAGATAGTTAAAAATAAAATAAAATAAAGGGTTGCCTAATTGAAAATCTGATGGGTACCCTGAGGGGGGGAAACCCGCTACTGCATTGGTGATTGGGGGGTGGATGCCTTTTGCATAATGTCCCTCCCACCTTCATCATTCTCACGGTTAACATACCCCAAGAAACTTAAAAAAAAAAAAAAAAAAAATAATTTGCCTAACTATAAATCTGTTGGGTACCCTACCCCATGAGGGAAAAACCACCCACCCGGGTATTTCATAAAAAGGGACGGACCCCTATTGTATTGTATTGTATTCCCCCAATTCTCAGCACACAGAAGGCACATAGAGAAAGGAGCCTAAACCGCATCCCACGCTCAAATCATTATAAACACACCCCATTTACTCGCACAGAGGCTTCCCAAATTCTCTCCATTAGTATAGTAGAATAAACAAACAGAGCAAAATAAACAAGTGGGATAAGAAAAGCATAGCAGAATAAATAAGAGAGCTCTTGCCTTCCTACTCATTTCCTTTCCCTCTTTACCGTATGCCTCCCCATCTAAACCCAGAGTAGGGAAGGAGAAAAAAAAATGAACAGTAGACCCAACCACATTCTAGAACCAAACCGAAAAATATTTCAAATCTTATGGGAAAAAACTATTATCTTCCAGGTATAAGGTGAGCAACTTACACAAAGAATACTAAATTATTCTCGAATTTTTAAGAGCCCTACTTTCGGTGTTGCACGTGGCATTCTAATTTACCCTACAATGCAAGACCCAACTGCATGATTCAGTTGTCCCAATAATGAGATTCAACTTCTCTTTTCAAATCTTGTCACAAGCATTCAAATATTTGCCCTCATACTGGAGCATCAAATTCTCCCAACACTTGGAACTTATTAGTTTATTAAAAACCTCAAATTTGCATCACGCGACATTTGTGGATCTTTTCAGGATTGAGCACAAGAGTATAACCAATTTAGTAACTCATTGGTTTATCATATAACCTTAGCTGCCATTCACAATAAAGCAGGCACGCATTATTACGGGTGTGTCTTCAAAAGCTCTCTCAATTTCTGACCATGACTATCGCGGACCAGAAAGGAAGGGGTTCTCAAAACAGGAAGCAGAGGAGGCAGTGTGATCTAAAGTTAGATGGGCCTTTTCATATTTTGGCCCCAAATAATGAAGGTTTTACTAAAGCTCAATAAAAGAGAAATATATCATGACAACCCTAGCTCTTAAAGAGCACCCAAAAAAAAATTTCAACTCACTCCATAACAGGAGCTTCCCAATCAAAATCAACATCGTCAACGCATAGGTTTCAGTTAAAATTTAAAAACTCACTCTAGCCATTATCGAATCCCGGGAAAATTAAAGGAAAAAAAAAAAAAGAGACCTTTCTAGGCGGCAACAGAAGGTTTTGATGCAGCAGACAGCCTCGATCTCTTCTTGGCCAAGCTCTCGCTCCTCCTCTCACGCTGCTCCTTGATCCTGCTGGCAAGAAGCTTCTGGTACTCTGCTGCCTCAGACTTGGCCTTTGCAATCCTCTTCTTCTTCTCTGCCATCCTTGCACGCTTCCTCTGAAGGGTCAAGGGGGTCACCAACCTCTGAATTTTTGGAGCCTTACTGCACTTCTTCCCTGAAGCTCAAATGTACTTTTTATAAGCAAAAATCAATGAAGCACAAAAACTTCCAAGAAAACATCGAAATAGCAATACCTGACAAAATAACAGAATGTAACCTCTTATTCTATGCAGCATGTGCGTGTTTGTAGCTCAACACACAATGACAATAGGAGACATCACATCAATCCCACAGGTGGATGAAGAGAGGAGAGATTTTTTCTCTCATCTCTCTCCATCCCTCTCATCAGAAAGAGGCACCAAACACAGGCTGGGAACCAGTAATAGTAAGATGTATAACATTGATCAAGGAAACCAATAGCCCAGCTCCCAGATGCCAATTTTAAGAACATAAAGTTCGAACCCACCTGACTTGGTTGTGAAGGTTCGGCGATAAGTATTCACATATTTGCGAACATCATCCTCCTTGGAGAGGTTGAAGAGCTTGCGGATTTTAGAAGCCCTCTTTGGACCCCTCATCCTTGGCTTCTCAGTGTCAGTGAGGCCAGGGAGATCATTCTCACCCTTCTTCACGATCACGAGGTTCAGAACAGAGAGATCAGGGCTCACAATGCATCCACGAACTGACTTACGCCTGCGCTCCCCATTACGCCTCCCATACCCACGAAAGCAAGGGATGCCTGCAAAAACTCATAAAAATAACCCATTAGAGCAAGGGGTGCCTGCAAAAACTCATAAAAATAAATTTAAGAAAAATAACCAGTAGGAGGAAACAAGAGAATGATGAGGTAGAACTTCATGATTACAAACAGATTTCCTGAAGTTGTGGTAGATCTCAGCCGAACAGCTTCCAATTGCTAAATGGCTGGTGTTCGACTGTGAGAGAGACCCACCAAAGCATGACAAGACCCAGTCATCTGACCAGTTCTCTCTCCAACACCATCCATCTATTTTGAATGGTGTAGTCCAGATTCAATTTCTACCTGATCATCCCTCAAAACCATGAACACATAGAAAATTGAGAAATAAGCCCTTTTCACCTTGAGGGTCAGGACATAACAGGCTTCAGCACAATGCCTCTTGAATTAGATTCCAATTTAGCCATTTGTCTTTTAACAAAAGCCCTCAACTACCACACAAATGCACACACAACATGTAAACGTAAGATAAAGAGGAATGGAGCCCACCTCTATGCAGCAACAGGCGGACACGGCCAGGAGTTAGGACCCCCTGCTTCATAGGGAACCCTTGTTTATCGCAACCTCCCATGATTTTAAAAACATAGCCCTTGAATTCCTGTGGATAATCTAATGGTCAGAACTGACAAGATTATACCATGAGAACTTGGCCACATTTAAAAGGGGTCATGAAGATGGCTATACCTCACCAAGGGCATCTCCGCTGACCTCCTGTGAGATCCTCTTGTCGTAAAAGGCACGGCTGTAAAGTATACAAGGAGTTTCAGGAAGACATCCATTACATTTAAAAGGTTGCAAGGTGGGTCCAGTCATAGTAATTTAATTTGAAATGAAATAAATATTACATGCTACAATTAAAGAAACAAACAAATCACTATTACACAACATGATTCAGCACACTGAGAGGCCAAGTTTTATGCATATGCCTTCATTTGTCATGTTGACTTGACTTACTCAATCATTATGTTTTATATGAATAGAATATATTATGAACAATCAATATGTACTTGACAATGTATTGCATAAGTACTCCAAATGTCGCTGCAAAAGTATTCAAACATTTCCTAATATTAAATACTTATTATAATTTTATGAGTCCCAAGCAAGGCTGTTATTAGCATTAATTTCACAAATAAAAAAAAGGTCGGTATTAGCATTAATGTGCAGCATTGTGAATAGATATCATGTTGTAACAATCGACACCTGTTCAACTGCAAAATATAACAGTCCGCACACAATGTTGGAGGAATTGAGAAGATTATAATTTTAATTCTCCAACAATATAATAAAGAATAGAAAAAGGAAAAGTATATGCACAGCTTTCATCAGAGAAGCTATAATTCATGTTTTCACACCAACATTACTACAAAATTACAAATAGGAGATACCAACTACAAAGCATTAACTCAATAGCTAGCTAGCAGTGCCCACTTCACTGTCCCAGAGCATGACTTATGTTTCATCAGATTTATGCCCTCTTGAGATGTCATGATACTCTTATACATACACTTCAATAGGGTAGGTGATATATCAAAGTATCAAACTTAGCAGAAGTAAGAGGATGGATTAGACAGACAGTTGCAAGCCTCGAGAGCAATGTTCAAATGACCAGGCAAGAAAGAAAAGTTAATTTGGTAATATATCAATTCATTTCAACTAACACAAACTAAGGGAAAAAGAACCGGGCCAGATCATATCATACCAAAGCAAAACTGAACAGAACATACAACGGATCTAAATCATGATCAAACAGCGTAGTAATGCATCAAATGACTCTGTACTCTAATAAAAAAAACATCAAGCAGGTCATCTCTTCGCCCCAATCTCTTATTGGTCTTTAATATTACTACTAAAATGTGAACAGAACTACCTTCTCTTTTTTTTGAGAATTGAGCTGCTAAATTAAAAATTCATCATTCAATATCCATGCAGAAGTACACAATCACCAATGGTATACAAAGTTTGAAATGAAACCATTGCTACAACAGGTATGCTGCTCCTATCCCACAATCCAGTAGAACAGCAATTAAAAAAGAATAAAAAGCTTGATGAGAGAGACACAAATTGCAGCAGAATATCAAAAGCCATCCATTGCAGGGCTATACGCCACCTCTCTCGCATGTCAAAGTTAAATAAGATGGCAAGTACTGCAGGATTTGACATAGTGATCAGAAATTCAAAAGCGATTTATCTTAAGAGCTTACATGGAAATGTTGGGTTCTACACCCTGCAGACATTAACTGGGTAGAACCAAATTCAGTCTTAGAAGGTTTCAATACCCATCTAGAGAGTTGGAGGACGCAGTAATCAAAAGGAGACATGGATGGAAGGTGGTTTCCCATGAATGTAGAATAGAGATGGGAGGAATTTCTGCTGAAATCCAAGATCAGTTAACCAAAACATTGCATTAAAGACATTGTACACATTCTTTTTCTTTTTTCTCTGCTGAATGACATTGTACACAATTCTGCTGAATGGTTTATACTATGGATAACTTGGATGCATGGCATGTCAGAATTTTCTGTTGCCTAAGGCAACAATTAATTGTAGTCTGTAGACTTCCTTTACTTAATGAAGTTTGTCACAAAGCAGAAATTTTCCACCAACAAGCCAAAGGTCGACCTCTGACCAACAGACAATGCAAGGAGGCAAAACATAGTAGACTTGAAATATTTACCAACCTAGGAAAAAATGCAGCTGATAACAAAATCAAAATCATTGCCACAATATATATATAACAATCACTCATACAGGTCATTTCAATTTTGTTAAGTAGTCGCCACCACGTTAGTGGGGTGAGGGTCGAGATATCTTAAATAACCAAGTTTTGATGCAAGTATTTAAGGGGTAAATATACTATCTATCATTCGGATTTCAAACAATATGCTAGCAACTCTTCAACCATCAGATGCAAAAAAACAACAGTTGACAAGCTGCTATCAGACTGTTTGATACCCCAATCCTAGCTTGGTATGACTTTCCAACATCTGACACTCATTTTCTGCCCTCAAGCTATCAACAGAGTACAATAATCATCCCTAGGAACTTGACATAATAAATATACCAAGAAATGTCCCCTAAAATTCAGAATGTAAATATACCACTAAAAAAGGGGAAAAAAACTAAAAATAAATTTCTCAAATACATTTCAAAGTAATGTCAGATAAGCAGTAGATCCAAGACAAAGATTCATGCTTTACAACTTAACAAGTATTGAAATATACAGGAAATAACTCCTCCTACTCCACTCCTACGTTTGCTTCTGAGTTGAACACCAATACAGCTATGTCAATCCATTCTGTTCCTCAATTCTAAGGTCTAACTCAATCTAGAAAATTCCCCAAATTTGGCTCTTTCCAGAATTTTAGTAGAAACACAGAAAATTTGAGTACATATCATTGAAAACTAACTTACAGAACTGGAAAGATGTCAGGACGGCTGGACCAGCTAGTTTACAGATTTAGACTGGGTTATAGATCCATCTCGAAATCATCATATATTTATCTTCCTTGCAGGCAATAAAAAAAATATAGAAAGGCAGCCAGCCAGCCAATGTACACAGGTAAACGAGGATGGAGATTAAAATTCCACCATGGCATTTGGACAGCATAGTCATAGAAATCAAGCATACAGAGTCTAACTCTCCTATGCTTGGAATATTTCATGTTCCAAGGGAGCCAATTCAAAGAAAAATAGCCTAAGAGTTTAAACATAAGTTACATAGGAAACTGTGCAGAATTTGCAAACATGCTCAATGTGGTGAACTTTGTTAATATGGTCCTTTTATTTTGACATACATTGCCCCTGCCCTCTCTCACAAAAACATTATGCACAGGGTGCAAGTTTCATTATTCACTACAAAAAAGATGAAAAACCTTCATAAGGAAATGACTTAATCTGAAATCACTAAAACTACACTCTATCTGCCCTAATGGGTCACTGAGTACTTCATATCTGATGCCAGCGTAATGTCAGCCCTCATTTTCACTCACTTAGGCCAAATCAATTATCACTTGCTTCAATCAATGTTATCAGGTTCACTCACTTAGGCCAAATCAGTCAAACTCTTCAACCTCAGTACCTAAACTGAAGCCAAGAGAATCACTCCCAAGTAATTGCAATACATAGGTATCATTTCCAAAACTAGCCCCTCATTGAGAATTCAGTAGCAATACCCCCGACACATTAACATTTTCAGAAAATTATATACATCTCATAAATTGAAATCTTTTAGAAGAACACGAATCAGCCAAATAGCAGTACTTCCCTTTCATGCCAAAATGAAGAGCCCCCGGAAGGCATCTGATATAAAACCTAGTGACAACTAGACATGAAGCACCGACAAAACCACATCCATCCACAACTTCAGAATTTTTTTAAACTAAAAAAAAAAATTTAACAGACATCCCAGGTTTCATCCCATATATCACCCATCTAACCCTAGACCCACCATCAGGGTTTGATTTCTGTTAACATTGAATCAATCCATCCAATAGACTCTGGCTTTTATAGCAACAGTTTAACTATTCCAACTTTTTTTTTTTGAAAGCCATATGATTCCAGACCATTGCATCCTGGTCTAGGCCCTTCCTTTAAACGTGTGTATAAAGCCTGGAACATCGGAGACTTTTTGTTCACAAGTATTGCTCCCACCAAATTGTGGTGACAAAACCTAGGAAATTCTGGTTGCAATTAGCTTCTTAAAAATACACAGAGGTTCAATAACGTTCCTAATATATGCAACACGAGATCAGTGGAAATCTGCACACGAGATTGCAAAGAAAGTACTCAAAATCAAATGAGATAAGAAATGTATAATATACACATGAGCATCCATCTGAGATCTCAATAAATCAAACGAAAACGTTCCAGAACGAACAACCATTCACTTTTGGCAAACTAACTCCCAAGTGATAAGTATAAGTATGTAAAAGAATTAGACAAAGCAATCACACCATGCAATGTATGAATTTTGCAGCTATGTATCAGATCGAAAACAGACACCACTAAACATACCTTAAAACAAGGATCTTACTTATATACTATCAAACTAAATCAATAAAATAAGTACAAACTGTGGCGCAAATCACTACATGAACATGACAAAAAAAAAAAAAGTACAAAAACAACGGAAAAAAAAGAAACATGCTCTTTCCTCTGCTCAAATTCATAATGGCTACTTGTCCTAACGAGAATTCTTGTTCTTTAGGTCAAATATTGCATATTACAAGACTAAACAAGCCAAATGTCAATATTACAAGAATCTTATCAGTTTCAAATCCCAAAGAAGCACACTAGCTCGCTTTCAGCAATTACGGGTATTCCAGTATCAAAAACACAGCGGCCAGAAACAGATAAATGCAGAAACTTAAACAAGTAATTTGATGGAAAACAAAAACTAGATCAAGGGCCGAAATAAAAGCATACAGTTTCTGGTCATCGTCGATTTCTAACTTCTTCTGGCAACCGGTGGTTGGATTAGCAATGTTGAACTGTTACACAACACAAGCACAACAACAAGAAGGAGGTGAATATCAATCACGCCAAAGAGGGAAAGTATCAGTCAAGCTATAAATCCACAGTAGACAGAGAGAAACCTTCATCTTGGCCAAACCACCGAACGCTGAGGAGAGGAGATTGCAGTTAGGGTTTCTTGGAGCTACTTATACTCCCCTCTTATTTTACGGTAATTTACGCTCATGTCCGATTAGTATTGAGAGGCTGGGGTTTGTAATTTCGTATGAGGAAAGTATAGAATGACACAATTTACCTTTTATATAAGATCACACTAATAAGACTATTGGTGGCTCCAATTATTTCATTGACCAAGCTCAAATTTTAAAAGAAATTTTCTCTAACACCAAACTATCAAAATTCATATCAAATGGTTGCAAGGAATTGTGACTGTCTTGTATAAAAAGTAAATCACCTCATTGTATACAATCATGTATGTATAAGGGGTCAAATTTAAACCATTATAGCAGATACGCCCTCTAAATCTTGCTAAAATAATATAGTTTACAATGGCTTAAAATTTATTAGAAAATTGTCTCATGAGAGCAGGGCTACATTTGTACAATATGTGGTCCAGAGTTACAAATCATCCATCTTAAAGATGGATGCAAATAGGTGGTCCATCTAAAAATTAGTATAATTAACGGTCCAAATGTTTTCTTAATATAATTACTATTTCTAGTTTTCAACTTTTAAATTTCTTTTCATATTTATGATTTCCATGTTAAAGATTTTATATTCTCTAAAAATTAGGATCAAATTATATTAAAAAATATATTTATTGCCAAGCCCTCATTTCTACAATATGCGAGCTGGCCGCATAAAAACCATGTCCAAATTGATTTTCATTGTCAATTACAAAATTTAAAGTTTAGAAAAGGGGCTAGGGTCGTGGTGGTAGCATCCCCATACCTAGTTACTACATTGTGGTTTTTATTTCTACCACTAACACCACCTCACTAATACCTTCAAAAATCTAACTCCTAATCTACTTAAAAAAATGAGTTGGGGCCTGTTTTTCTCATTAAATTACCCAAAAAAATAATAATTAAAGCTCCAAAAATAGTGTAGATCGAACATATTTATAAATATTTAAAATGATTTAAAATAGCCTGTCTAGATAATGAGTTGTTGGATGTTGTACTTTTAAGGCTTTAAATTCTCCTTTTTTATATCTATATATCTCAAGTCGAGATTATCAATTATAGAGTTTTTTTGACATGGAAATAACCTTTTTTAATTAGAATTTTAGGATTTACCTTACTTCAACTTACTTATGTATTATAAGGTGTTAACCTTATATAAACTTTTTCTTTATATAAATCTTTTTATCTTGCTATGTCTATACCCACTTCTTGTCTTTCTTGCTAAGGGGATTGTATACTATGTGACTATTCATTTTTAATACAAAGAGGTCACAAACGCCTTTATGCTCACTTTTAGACCATTCGCTTTACGAAAGTACCCATCAAGTATCACATAATGCTCCCTACATCAACCCCGCACGCACCCATGTTCCCTCTCACTTGCTCTCCAAGTCTATCTCTAAGGGCCTCTCTCTCTTTTTGACAAGATTACTATCATTTCATTAATTTGTCAAAAGACAACATTACACTTTCATTAATTTGTCAAAAGACAACAATACAAATTTACAGATAAAAAAAAGTCAAACAATTAAAGATTAAAAAATAACAATCTCTCTCAAGCTAGCTCCTTTTTTGGCCAAAACATATGCCACCTCATTAGCCTATCTGTAGACATGTTGTAAAGAAACTACCAATTGAGAAGTGATATCTATAACCTCCATCCATTTATCTTGCAACATCCATGGTGATTTAGTTTCCTTATTGCAGCAATTTATGATGTTGAGCGAATCACCCTCCACAATAGGAGGCACGCTCTTGAATCTTTGAAAAAGAATATGAAGTCGCTGCAACACCGTTTCCATCTCCACATAATTGGCAATATTCAGGCATAGCATAGCATAATACCCCCATTGAATCCCTTATGATGCCTCCAAGTCCAGCCACACCCAGGTCCTAAAGAACTCTCATCAAAATTTAATTTGAGACTCTTAATTACAAGCGGTATCTATACTCATCTGATCGTAACCTTTAAAACCTTTTGCTTAAACAAGTTTACAAGGTTAACATAAACATCAACTTCAGAAATGCCAAACCTCTCTTTGGTGATCGACAACCAACTCCAAATATTGATGACAAATTTTCCTTTTACCCAAATTTTCCCCTACCGCTCTTCCTTCAAGGATTCCCAGATTTCTTGCTTTCCACAACTCCCACAATACAGATTGCCTTTACCATTTGCTAAATTTTCTTACCAACGAGTGTTAAAGAACCGCACTCCCATTGAGTCAACATGTTAGTATGAGAGTTAGGGGAAACCACAGAAAATCCCAGCCACTGAAACATCCAACTCCAAATATTATATGCAAAAGAACAATGTAGAAACAAATGATCCTCACATTCTTCCACTGCCCTACACATAAAGCACATATTAACCATAGCTCTGCCTCTCTCCATCAAATTATCAACCATTAGAGTCTTTTCTTGAAATAAAATCCATAATAAACTCTAATTTATAAAGGGATTGCCCAACTCCATATTTTGTATAAAGACGGGCAGTTCCATCTCAACCGACCATAGGACAACAAGGAATATGCAGATCAAACACTGAAAATTCCATTACTTCCAACTTTCCAAACTAACTCATCATCTAGCAATTGAGAAAAATGGCATCCTTGAAGATTATTAAGCAACTTCGTATATTCAGCAATCACAAAATCTAAAATCCTATTTCGCGTCAACTGAATCCTCCACTCCCCTAACCCAACGTCTCCATTGAAAATTTGCAAGACAGTCCGCCTCTTGACTCGAAGAAAGAGCAAAGACCAGTGGAAACTGAAATTTAAGAGGAGTCTCTCCTAGCCAAATATATTACCAAAATGAGATCGAGTTCCATTTTCCAAGCATCCATCTTGAGCCATTAAACACTCGTAATCTATTTCCCATAATCCCTTTCCATAAAGGTGATTGATCTGTTGCCCTTCTTCCCCTTGAAATCCATTGAGATGTATGACCTACTCCATATTTAAGTGTCAACACTTCTTTCCACATTTGATCCCCACAATGTATAGACCGCTACTACCACTTTGTTAGAAGGCCTTGATTAACCAACTTCGCTCTCCAAATTCTCAACCCACCATCATTTTTAGGAGTACATACTCTCTCCTAATTTACTAAATGATATTTTCTGCCTTCCCAATAAGATCCCTATAAGAAATTCCACATCAGTTGTTCCAAGTGTTTGCATACTGCACTAAGCATCACCAATAAAGACATTAGATATGTGAAGAGTCTCAGGTTTATCAGAAGAGACTCAATGTCTAATTATAGTATGAATATACAAACTTGTCTTTTATAGATAAATTACAGATGGAAAAATATAAAAATAAACCAAAGACACATAAACTATATTCAGACTTAACATAAATATAAGATATTCTACCTATCATTCTCATATATACTGATTATATTATACACCTTCCATAATAACTTGGCATACAAGATATACTTTCCTTTCACACTCTCCCTCAAACTCAATATGCTATGAGAGAGAGTAGCTGGAGTTTGAACACTAAATTATATAAACAAGCAGTTATATTCTTTAAGTGCATACTCAAATTGTTTGATCAACCAGCACAGATGAGCAACAAAATAGGTCAGGCTTAAGCAATTATAGATAAGCAAGCCTCAGAAATAAAAACAGGAACATAAGAAGCTTGAGCAACAGCCAATTAGTAAGCCTTAGAAACAGATGGCTCGAATAGAGCATGCTCGAACAACAGCAGATCAGCAGGGCTCGAGAACAAAGCATGCTTGAGCAATAGCAGATCAGCAAGCCTTGAGAATAGACGACCCGAACAGAGTAGGCTCGAGTAACAGATAAAAACTCTAGATCTTCACTAGTCAAGTAATGTTCTCTCTCTCTCTCTCTCTCTCTCTCTAAAATGAAACCATGGAAGGTATTCTACAACAAAGGAAGTTTCACAGTTGAAAAAAAAAAACAGTGGATTTTACAGTTATTAAAAGTGTTATACTGTCATACAAGCGGTTTTCAGGGAAGCGAATAACTAACTGATCTACCATTGGCGGTTTTAACGTATCTAACATAGGATATTTTGATAGAGGGTGATATTGCAGGTGGTATTCAAATACTGATAAGGGCTGAGTGGTTTTTTGATGAACGGTTTCAAATGGTGGTTTTGATAAGGTGATTTCAATAGGTGGTTTTTGTATGGTGGCTTTCAAGGGACAGGATTTCATGTTGAGTGGCAGAATGGTGGGTTCAAGGACCTTTTTGGAGGGTCCAAAGCATTATTCGGTAAGCTCATATACTTTTTCGATGAGTTTTTTGGTTAAGTGGGTTAGATTTGCGATGGATTTGGACCATGAGATCAAAATATAGAGGCTAACAACACAAAGGGGTGGAAGACTATTTCCTAGATAGATTGAATTGGGACAGAATCAAATAATAACATATGACACTTGATCATAGGAATGGACACGATGAAGATGAATTTGGCTATAATTCCATGTGAAAAGTCACAGGTTTCTTAGAAGAGACTCAGTGTCCATCAATAGTATGAATATACAGGCTTGTCTTTTATAGACAAATTACAAATGAAAAAATAGAAAAATAAATCAAAGACACATAAATTATACCCAGGCTTACCAAAAATACAAGATATTTTATCTACCATTCCCATATATACTGATTACATTATACACATTCTATAATAACCTGGTATACAAGATATACTTTCCTTTCACAAGATAAACTGGCAAATTGGATAGTGATGCTTGAATTAACGTCACTCTTCCCCCTTAATGATAAGTGTTTGGTCTTCCATAAATCTAATTTGACATGGACTTTTGTATAATGAGATCCCAAACGAACTTGGGTCTATTTGATAGGCCCACAATATTAAGATATTTTAGAATATTATAAGATCCGAGCTTTCTTAATTTGATTTGGTCAATGAGGATTTTTTATAACACCAAAATAGATTACATATGATTTAAATATCACCCCAAAAACATAATCCCCAAAAAAATATGTCTTGACTTGAATTTTAGAAACTTTTAAATAACGGTACCTTGTGGGTTAGCGTT